TTGATGATAATTTGTTTGTTTGTTTACATTTTTCTGTCAAATGAGTTGACACAAGTAGAACTTACAACAACGAATCTCGTTTTTTGTACAACAACACTTGCTGTTACCTTCTATTATTATACCATGGGTGAAACTCTGGGTCCACAGAACAACAAATCTGATCCCTAAAACTATCGAAGAAAGTGGATCACATATGGCGCCTTGAGCCTTTTTCTCGTACTGCGTTGTTGGATATATATAGATATTGATTTGAAATACAATGGATGCCGCTCAATGCTCCATCGTATTGTGGTTCTTTATGCTGAATATGAAATGCATATAAACTAGAAATTTCAACAGAACAATGATCCAACACAAACCATTCAATTAGCAAAACAGTTGTTTCAGTACATCAATGTAGATATTATGGAAGGGCCCGCGCAGTCACCGGATCTAAATCCAAAACCCAAGAATAATTAGATCTAGAGTGGCATTTAAGAAACTTGACTAAAAAGTCCATGCGAAAGATGCAATAAATTTCTCTATTTAATGCAACACCGATGTGAAGCAGTGTTACCCACAAAATGCGATTTAAATCCACTGGGTTAACGAAATCTGGTACAATGTAAACGTACTATTAGGTTTCATATAAAAACCTAATATGAATGTTATGTTTTCATTACAGCTGCTATATATATTTTTTTTTTTTTTTTGACCCACCTCATTTCAAGAAAATCCCCTTTTTAACAACGTTACCTAAGGCCCGTACCTAAATTCAGTGCGTTGCGTACTAAAATACCCACCTTCTCACCTTTATTAGGTTTGCTGAGGGTCCGTATTAACCAAATACGCAAGGATCTTATTTACTTGTGCGTCAATTGAAAACGGTGAAAATGGATGAAAACATTTTCTTAATTAACCGAAAAATTTTTACATTTATAGAAATACAATTTTTTCAATGACTGGAATTATATTTTCAAAAAACAAAAAAATTAAAATACGCATTGTCAATGTTTAAAATTTTCAACTTTATATTTTTATACGCATTGCGTATTTGGGTAACAATCATTGAAATACATGTATTTAGCTTTTGAGGTGAATAAAATCGTATACATACGCATGAATTTAGGTACGATCCTAAAATTCAACGAAGCGTATACAAATATTCAACTTCCCCACTATGGCAAAATGTTTTGTACGGCTGTATTACCTAAATACGTCGAATTCATTTCTCTTAGCGAACTAAACAAAATCGCGAAATAAAATTAAGAAATTATAAAATGTGTTCAAATATTTCATACTCTTACTATAAAAAAATTATATTTCATTATGTTTTGTTTCTTTTTTCAACAAAAGAAAAAAAAACAGGCTGTTACACAATATTTTCAAAATACAAAACTGTTTGTTATAATTAAAAAATAGATAACAACTGGTAACGTTTTAACTATGATTTGAACAAAAAACATTATGTGATTTCAAAAGAAGAATGTGGTTTTCTTCAGTAGGATTGTTTCAATGCATTACGCTGCTATGATTTTGACCGCAGCTATATATTTCAAATAAAATTTTAAAAATATTTCTCTAATATAATTTTAAAAATATTTTTCAAATAAAATTTTAAAAATATTTTTCAAATAGAATTTTTAAAATATTTTTTAAATAAAATTATAAAAGTATTTTTCAACCTTTCGATTTCTGTCCGATCTTATAAAGGTTTTAGGTACAATGCTACTAAATGCATGGGAAAATACAAGTATACGACAATGAATTGACATGATTTTGTTGTTACTGTTTTTGCAATTGACGAAAATCCTTTTCGACGGCGGTTAATTCGAAAGAGTCTGGCTCTAGTATGAACTAGAATTATAAACTTCGCACAAAAATCAACAAAATGGCGGACATGATTTTTGGAAAATCCCTATTTACGACAACAAACCATGTTAGAAAACAAGGAATATCTTGACGATAACATGTATCCTAGTTAATAGTGCGTACTGAATAACGTGTTAAAATTTGGAACCGATTGGATAATTACTTTTTAAGTTATCGTGCCCGTCATTTGTAAAAACACTGTTTCGATAAAACCGAGTTTATAGTTTGAGAATCCGTTCTGTCGTTGCTTGATGCTGGCACAATAAATAGGCTATATCATAGATTTAGATTTTCACTTGAAATTTTAAAGGGACATTCTTGAATTGGTGTAGGCTCGAATTTAACACAAAATAAAAATTTGACTTGCGTAAACGGACAACATACAGTGAGTAAATGTGTGGCTTGCCATGCTCTCCTATTTATACTTCGTCCACTCTCGCCACAGAGGTTTCTCGACGATCAAGTAACATTTCGATTACTAAGAATTTATCAGTGCAATATGTACACAGAAACTAACAACGATTTACGTTACAATTCAAATTTGTAAATTATCGGAACATACCCAATTATCTTAAACCTACTAGTTCATCCGTATCATTGCCCCCGCTTAAGCCTGTTTATCACTAATAAGCACCTCCAAATGTGGATGTAGGGAAGTCGTCCTGGTTTTCTTGATCCAGTATGAGTTACACATTTCTTTGAAAATCGCTGACTCAAAATTCCTACCGAACGCCATGCTGAAGCCCTCAGCAAGAAATGCAGGCCATCAGCCTTTCAAAGGCCAGCATGACATTGAACTGCCAGAGAGACCCCCATCAACGCAATTTTCTCCTTATCTTTTTCGGCGATCTCTGGATTCACCGCACTCGGTCCCCTGTTGGCGTATCTTATGGGTCTGTGGTTTAACAATATTTTCGCCGTGAGTTGGGCAAGGGCAAACTATACAGTTTCAGCAAATGACGCGTTGGTGACTCGTATGTTTCGCATTTAAAGTCAGGTTCACGTATTTATAAGTCATTAGCATCAAACGTTCCACCTCCGTTGCAAAGACTTGTAACTTCCCATTTGCCTTCTGTACTCTTCCTCTTAATTTCACTAGGTATATGTTTTGCTTATGTTCGCCACCATTAACATCTTCATAATTGTTTCTAGGAGCGGCAGGAATAATCTGCATTACATCAGCAGCATCGCCTCAGAATGAAGTAGTGCTACCGCTCCATAAATTTCTAGAATTCTCTGACTCGAACTGCAACTTGAAAACATTAAATTATGTAGAGCCCTCGAAACAGGTCTATAAGTTTTCAACATCACACTACTGTGTATTCTTTGTCCGAGAAAAAGTTTTTACTTTTGAATTTAAAATAGTAAAAGTATAAAAAAATCACATTACATCTTTTTCATTTGTGATTGCCGTTTGTTTTTTTGAAGAAAGATTTTGCGATACGCTTCGAATTTAAATTACAACAACATGGTAAAATAATATAAGGTAACAGCATGTGTTGGAGTGTCAACGTCATTTAATCAAAAAATGTAAACAAAACATTTAAATTAAAAAAAAATATTTGTTAAGGACCCCTTACACTATAAATCATGCCGTCATGCCGATAAAGCCCTTTTTGTATATGTGAGATTGACCAGTGTATGGCAAACTCTTCAATCACTATTCCAAAAATAGGTTTTTGTCCCAAAAATTGCATTTTGAGTCATAAATTCAGTTGTTTTTTTATTCCATCACAATTCTATTATTTTCAAAATGAATATTATTAACCAGATTGATAGGGTTTCATTTTCAAAATCAAAACTATTTTGATTTTCTTCATGCATTTTGTGTGTCACTTGATGCTGACACAATAAATCGACTATATTTTCAAGAGTTCTTGAGATTTTCACTTGACATTTTGTAGGGACATTCTTGAATTAGTGTATATTCGAAAAACTAAATAAAATTTGTTGACACCGAGAATGGCCTTAATAATAAAGGCAATTCTAAGGCAATAATGAATTAGATGCTAATAAAATGAACTCAAAATTTGTTAATAACCAACTAAATCCCCAAGCTAATATTGATAATTGGCAACATATTTTAGATAATGAACATGGTTTTTCTTTTTCTGGCGTTACGTTAGATAAAATGTTGGATGTTTTTGTCCAAGTTAAATCCAATGACGCAGGTAATGACTTATTTTCAAAAAAAAAATTAAACGTGTTTTCCGTATATTTCTAGACATGTTTTACATCTCATCAATTCCATACACCTTTCTATTCAGTTGGAAGACAGCCAAAATTGCCCCTCGTCCGATTGCTTTACTTCCGGTTGTGTCTAACGTTGTCGAATATATTTTACGAGATCAAATGATGACTATTTTTTTTTTATTAATAATTTAGCAATCAATATAAATTCAATAGAAGTGCTTGCAAATTACTGTATTCATATTTGCATGAAAGAAAGCAATTTGTTCATTTCAATAAACTTTTCTCTAATACTCTTCCAGTTAGGAGTGACGTTCCGTGCTGGGCCCAGTTTTATTCATACTTTTTTTAAACGATTTGTACATACGATCGTTTAAAAAGATTATAGATCCATCAATGTATTGCAATCGAAAATTGAGCTTGTTAGGGAAAAACTTGGCGATTGAATGATGGTTAACCGATTTCGTGTGAACCCATCTAAAACTACAGCCATGTTGTTTTCTAACAGGGATTTATCCAATCTGCAGTTAAAGTATAAAGGAGTGAATACATCATTTGTCCATAATTTGAAGTGTCCAGGGGTTATATTGGATAACCAGTTATCCTCTGATGTACACATTGATATAGTAGTAGCTCACACGAACTATACAACACAGTTTTAGTTTTACCCTACCATGAAAAAAAGAGACTTGTGCATGCCCTAATCATGCCAAACATTTAATATTGTATAGAAGTATATTATATTGTATAGAATATTTATTATTTTTCATGATTTTTCTTTATTATACAAATATAAGTATTATGCTTACATAATTCTATACAGAATAGCTATGAAATAAGGTGGAATCTTTATAATTAACTTAAAATTGGCCACATGAATTGTAAATTGGCTTAAATTGCAAAGGAATCAAATATAAATAAATACAATAAAAAAATCGTTTAAACCTTTACAATTACAGAGTTCACCAATTTACCAAAGTTGAAATGTTCTCAATATGCAATGATACTCAGTCGGAAGATATGTTGGAACAGTTTAAAAATTTGCAACTTGATCTTTTTAAAAAATTGGGTCTCAAAATTCGATTATTGGATATGCCACCCGTCGAACTTGGTGCTCCTGCATATCAGAAGTATGACATTGAAACATGGATGCCTGGGCGCGAAACATGGGGTGAAATATCAAGTTCCAGTAATTGCACAGATTATCAGGCAAAACGACTTAATATCCGATTCAGAACCAAAGATGGCACTATTAGGTATGCTCATACTGTTAATGGAACCGCGGCCGCAATACCAAGATTGTTAATAGGGTTGCTGGAAACACATCAGGTATGAATACTCTATAATTTCAATATTAACCAGTACCTCTATCCTGAAACTTTTAACAATTGTTGTTATTGTTTAATTTTCATTTGTCATAGTAACATGAAGAAAATAAATAAGTTAAATTGTTGTCAAAAATAAGAATATCGATAGTTGTTAAAGGTTGCAGAATAATTGTTAATACAAACATATTTTCTAGGTCGACTCCAATATAATTCAAGTCCCTGAAGCTATTGCCAACTATATGAATACCAATACCATTTCCCGAGAGAAGCTTATCCCAGAAATAAAATTGTTAAAACACTTCAAGAAAAATTTGTGAATAATATTTTTAAAATATTTCTACATTGTTACTTAAGTCATGTGTCATTACGGAAGATTAATAAAACAAATGTTCCTTTAGTTTACACCAAGATATTTTAATGGGTTCTTATTTCTGGGTCCAGGGAGGATGGGAGACTACCGGTATGTAGTCCGGTAGGTAGCGTGTGGCTGGGCGCTCCCTATTTGGGAATGAAAACAAATTTTACTTCCCCCATAGGCTAGGTATGAAAGATAATCTAAGATTAGCTTTAAAAATCTCCTTTTTAAAGGTTAAACCGTCTGGCCCAGGAAATTTAAAAGGTGTTTATCGCCCATATCAGTTTTGGATAGCTAATTAGAACATTTATGATGTAGAAGAGATGCATCCTTGCCCAAGTCTCTGCACCCCGGAAAATGGGTCTCTGATAACAGTTCTAGAGTCTCTGGACCGAACTATCACTTCGTTTAATACTACCGATGGATTCTGCGTACTTCAATGGTATTTTACGAAATCTGGCCTCATCGTTAACACCTTCTATAGACTCGCTAAACTAATCTAAGACTTCCGGTTAGATCTCTTAATCACACTATTGTACGCATTGAAATGCCCTTTAAAAGCATTCCAATCAGTCCTTAGTTTTTATTTTCTGGCTTTATTATAGAATTTCTTGCAGTTTTACGAGAGACTGCAAGTTCCTTGGTCCACCAAACCGACTGAAATTTTTTCCCAGGGTGGGTGATTGAAAAATAAGTCTCGTAGAAACCCTAAAACTGTTCGAATTTGTTCTCTTTGGGTATCTATAGGTCCTATAGGTTAAAGGAACCTTGCTTTACTCCGACATTGAAGATCTGGAATCTGGAAAATATCATCTGTGGTCCGAGAAGGAGCACTTTTCTTATATTTCCCAATTGTCCATGTTTGTGAAGGTGATGTCTATTACCTCACCCTTTACAATGTTAACAACATTAGATGCATTGCCCCTATTGCAATTTTTAGATTTTCAGAATAAAATTGAAAACAGACTCACCACTGGCATTTGTATCGCTGCTTCTCCAGTGGAAATTGTGAGCGAAGAGATCTACCTGGCGGGTCAGGATCTTCGTAAAACAGGTAGACAGAGGATATCACCCGCGGTTTTTGCTTATTTCTTGGCAACTATACACGTTTTTACATTATACTCGTTAGAGGTGGCGAAGACCGTGTAGTGCTTGATCTTAAGACCAGTCACTATACCCTTATATAGATATGGTTCCTGAACTGGAGCAGATGCTTTACTGGAGGATAGGGTTAAGAGTAGCTCTTTAGCCGCTGCCTTGCAATAGTGCATATTTATCTGCACGATTTTCAGGACCTGCTGTATTCGGTTTCTTTTTTGCCGCAGGGTGGCGGAAATAAATCTGTCCCAGTCCATACACAAGAGCGCCTCTGTTCCTCCTCAAATATTCCTCCCTGCTCTATCCGTGACATATTTGAGACCTCCGTTCTTCTCAAAGGTATTAAGCTTTGCGCTAGCTAACCATTTCAATACCGGAGTTCTGCTTCTCGACCAACCTCTGCATCTGTTCCAGGTCCAAAAGAGGAAACCACCATCACCCGAACGACCGTCAAGATACTACCCTCCCAAAGGGATTTAAGGCAATTAACTACCTTAATAACCTCCAGTTTAAGACCTTGACATCCTACCAAACCGTAGGTGCCGATGGTGAACCTTGTCCATCTGAGACTGTCACTGATCCACTCGATGTCAGCCTTTTCTATGATTGCAACTCTATGGTCATCTGGGACCATTTGCCGAGTTGTCGCTTCCTTAGATTAGACGGTTGCCTGCGAAGACTTAAAACCAGGTCCGACTTTCGTCTCCCCTGCCTTCCCACTAACCCTCTTGGCCGCTACTGCTACCTACGAGAAAGAAGGTTGCATGGTCTGTATCAACGATGGCTTCTTTGCAGCATTTCCTGTCCAATGCTTCTTTGGATTTAGCACTTTTGTTTGCAGTAGTCGACAACTGATTTTCCAAGCTTTTCTAGGAGTACCAATTCTTGATTTCTGTGTATTCCCCAGTCCCTTAAAAGGTGGTGGGATACTCACTGAGGTGACCATCCCGCTCGCAACCTTCCCAAAAAGGATCGCAGCTGTTAATGGTCCTTAGTATGACAATTATCCCTTTGTACAAGTCGATCTGGCCAAACCGTAGATTCCGTCCATCAATTTTGTCGGTTAGATAGCTGTCGCTGTCCCATTTGGGTCAGGCGCCGGTGTAGGTTCCTTGGCTACCTGCTTAGAGAAAGTGGGTTTGGCTTTCACCACACCATTACCGCTCTTAACAGGTTACTCCATCAACACTACCGACGCGTACGAAGCAGTACTTTGTGTAACTGACGACTGCGTGGATCTCTTAGCAGCAGTTTGTTGTTCTCCCGAGGACCTCATTCTCTTTACAGCTGTGGTCGAGATTCGGCTCCCGGAGTGACAACAGCTGCAGAGACTGACCCAGCTGACGCAGGTACCTGTTTCGCGCTCGCCACTTTTGGTTATCCACTAAAAACTGCCCAATTGTCATAACCCTAGACTTAGGTTTTGACACTTCGGCAGAGGATGGATTTCCAGAGGGAGGTTGTGCCTTATCAGCTTTCCAGGGGGCTATTTTACGGACTCTCCTTCGGGATGACTTCGACAGTCCCTTACCCTCAGTTTTCGTGGTTGATGATGTCAGGGATTTCTCAGCGCTCAGTTCACCCTTGGGGGACTGAGGGCTCAGACGTCCCAGCCACCAACATCCTAGATGTGCTAGGGCCAATAACAGTCGTCTATTCTTTTGGGGGCAACAACCAACAGCAGGCGCTAAACATTGATGAAATTTTAGGATATAGGTTGTAGTCTATGCCGATGATGTAGTCTTGTTAGCCAGCGGAAAATTTCTGCCGACTATTTCTGAACACCCTGCAATATGGGTGCTTGGAGTAAACTCCACGAAGACAGAAATTGTACTCTTCACTAGGAAGCGAAAGATCCCAAACTTCCGTCTGCCATCTTTGGATGGTGTCACTATAACCCTTTACTTAAAAACAAAATACTTAGGTACAGTCCTTGACGCACTAAAGGTGTTTTTACACTATGTGTACTTTACATATGTTCTGTCACTTTATATACATACATATGCAACTCGAACTCGTCGTGTGAAAAATATGGAAATTGCAATATGTCAAAACGATATGCATATAAATATGTATTTTTCCGTATAGGACGCGCTCTATTTTTGTATGTGAAACAAACAAAGAAAATGATGAAAAGGCAAAAAGTATAAATTGTTATTTTGTTCATAGTTGTTTAATAAAAAACTATGTTGATTTCAGAAAAAATAAAGGTGTTGTTTTTTATAGGTCATGTCGTATGAAAAATACATATGCAGCTTAGAACCCAAAACTAAAAGTCTTTCGTACGCAGCTAATTTATGAAATTATATATGGATGAAACAAGTGACAGCACATATGTAAAATACATATCGTGTAAAAGCACCATAAGAGAGATTTAATAGCACTATACTCTTGCAAGAACTCTACAGGTAAAAGTTGCATTTGTTGTATGTAATGGTTATATTCTGCATATTTACATATGGTTGCTTTGTATGGTGGCTGGGGGCCACAAGCTTACGCTTCTGGCCAAAATAAGTAGTAGTATTAGCGGTATTGATCGATTTTGAATGTCCAACAACTGGATAATTCTGTTAAATTCCAGGATGCTCGGTTAAATTCCATGTGTCCTGAGATTCCGGGATACGGACACTTGGAAGTATGCACCTTGCCCTCGCTTCCTTAACAAAAGTGCAGATTGTGACTTTTAACATAGGATCACTCACATTAGTGACTATGCTCTCTCCCATAATGACTTCGATGGCATTAGAGTAGATAACAGGGAATCCTGGAAAGTGGCTCCTTACCTCGGGGCAGTCTGTCGATATATACAGACGGGTCGAAGATAACTCTTATAAACTTAACGATCTCAAAAGCGGTTCTAGATAAGATATGAACGAATGTTAAATTATGTTGGGTTCCAGGCTGACGAGCTTGCTCGAGGGGGTTCGCTGTCGTCCAATCTACCGATTGAGGGATCTGCACAACTCCCTTTGGCTATTTCATTGGCAAAATCCGAATCAGCTACTGCAAGAAAGCCGGCAAAAGATGGTCAACAGAACCTTGATGCAGGATATCAAAAACTATCTGACCTGCTTTTAACTCAAATTTTTATTAGACACGTATTTTCGGGGTTCTCTTAAGGGGAACCCCCACCCTCATTCTCGGTGTCAAACAAATTAAGGATTTAGTTCTAATGTACTCTAATTCAAGAATGTCCCTACAAAATTTCAAGTGAAAATCTCAAGAACTCTTGAAGATATAGCCGATTTATTGTGTCAGCATAAAGTGATGGCAAGAGTGATTGTCAATCTTTATTTTTCTCTAAACTGTGTGTTTACGAATGGCGGGCACGATAACTCAAAAACTAATAGTCCGATCGGTTCCTACACGTTTTTCTGGGAGTGTGTATCTATCGTATGAAAAAGGATAAAGCCAAAAATGGCGAATTTAAAGAAAATTAAAAGTCCGCCGTCTTGTTAATTTTTGAGCGATGTCAATAATCTTAGTTCATACGAGAGCCACACATGAACTCTTTCTAACACCCTTGTAATTTTCTGATTCCGATGTTCCAGTTAGGAGGTATCATGCCCGCAATAAAAAAAGGGAATTTAATCACAAAAAACAACAATAGCACGGCAGCGGGTTCTACGATACCGGATTGACCCGATTCATCTCGTCCAGCGGCTGCCAACCTAGTTATATATGTTTGTATTGTTTTTCTGCTTTGGGAGCAACATATCCCGGAATGGGTCCTTTTGGTCCGCGACGGGATCGAACAAAAACCCGGACCGTGGTTCTGTTCGGTTTGCCAGAACATCATTCATCACCGGTCAGTGTCGATGAGATGTAATGGGTGCAAGGAGTGGG